GCTGCATAATGAAGGCCTGTCTCAAGCAATAAAATACCAAATTTGTAGATTTTTTTCTCTTCTATGTCACCAGTCGTGTTAGGTTTATCCAAGCACAACTTAGCTTCATGAAGCCTGTATATCCAGCTTCTGCCTCTAGTTTTTCTTCTCTTCCTATAAAGGTGTGTGTGTGTGTGTGTGTGTGTGTGTGTGTGTGTGTGTGTGTGTATGTGTGTGTGTATGGTGGGAACAAACCTGTACTATGGTGTACATGTGGAGTTCAAAGGATAAGTTAACGGAGCCAGTTCTCTATTTCCAAACATGTGGGTTCCAGGGATTGAAGCCAGTCATCAGACTTGGCAGCAAGCACCTTTGCCCACTGATCTATCTCACTGGTCCCTTTCTATAAGGTTGATGTAGGACTAAGGGGTCAGACTGAAAAAAAAAGTCCACAAATCTTTAATATTGCATCAAAGGAGATGTATTTTATCCCTTATCTCTTTAAGTGTGGCCTGGAAATCAGAGGAGGGGCTTTGGAACGCTCAGCAGCCTTCTCTTTCTGATTCTTGACTTAACCCAGAAATCTCATCTGATGGGAATATCTCCATATGACCAACAATTTCCAGACATCCTCCACAGTTTCTATAAATCCTTCAAGGTTGTTGTAAATTGATTGCATCTCTAAAGACAATTCAGGGAGTGGTTCAATTAGGAGAGAGATCTCATGCCGTTTCATTTTGTGTACTGAGTTGCTGGAGGCAAATGCTCAGACGAGAGTCATGTACTTTAAAACGAGTAGTTACTTGAGTCTGCTCTTATGTCAAAAGCTGATTCTCTCTTTAGTGAAAATATTTTGGTGTTACTATTACCACAGAGAAAAGTTTGGAGTGGGAAGAGGGGATGTGTTGATCTGATGACAGCACAGGCGTTAGTGATTGCCAGTTTTGTTATACCAAGGGAAAAGTCATAGTAGCCTCCATCAGAGTGCTGTATCTGGCCAAAGAACAGTCCAATACAACCAGCCATGTAGCAACTCCTCCTGGCATCAGACAAATGTCTAGATTTCTTCCATTATGTGTCCTTATCAAATTTAAAATGGGTTTCCACCCTACTGGTGGTTCTAGCTCCCACTACAAGACCACGTGTCTGCCAGTGAGAAGAAATAAGAGAGGAGATGCGAATGTGGCTCATAGTCTCAAGGCACAGTCCAGACATTGCACACATTACTTCTACTCCTAGCTCTGTGTTCAAAACATAATCACATGGTCACATGTAGCTGCAAAGAAGGCTGGAAAAAGGCACCATTCGCTTGGGAGAAAGATGTTGTTCTCTTTTACATTTACATTGCTGTGATAATTATCATGCCCAAAGCAGCTATGGGTAAGAAAGGGTTTATTTTAGCTTATATTTCCAGGTCATAATTTTATCATTGACGAAATCATGGCACTAACCCAAGCAGAAGGCCGTAGAACACTGATTGCTGGCTCACTTGCTGGTTCATGCTTAGCTACTTTACTTACATGGCCCAAGTCTACCTGCCTATGGATGATGCTACTCAGAGTGCTGGAGCTTTCCCATATCAATTGTCAGTGAAGACAGTCTGATCAAGGGGAGTTCCCTCATCCCACGAGTCTTGGTTGTTCCAAGTAGGCAGTATAAATGAATTAGAACACCAACAAGATATGTTCTTCTACAATCTTGAGCCTTTAATCCCAGTGGAAGAAGGGAAGAATGGGTTTAGGGTGCCATAGCAATCTCCGTCATAAGGATAATTTTCCATTGTTATACACCCCACTCTTGATAATTCCAACATCTCAGCTGTACCTGAGTGTGGCTGTGCTGCTCCCATGAGCCTCTAAACTGTGTCTTGCCTTTGTCTTGGTCACCTTTTTCATCACTAGGGCAAAACAACTGACAAAGGTAACTTAGGGGAGGAGAGGTTGGCTTTGGCTCACGGTTTCAGAGGGTGCACTCCACAGTGGTGGGTAAGGTACAGGGGAGTGACTCCTCACACGGTAGCTTCATGGGAGAGCCTTGAGAAGGAGACTAGAAGCACGGCTGAACTGTGACCCTCAAAGGTCACCTCCAAAAGCCTGTCTCCACGAGCAAGGCCTCACCTCTTAAAGATTGCATAACCCAAACAGCTCTGTTAGCTAATGTTGGAACATATGAGCCTGTTGAGGACATTTCCAATTCAAACCATACCATCTTTTGAGCAGAATTTGTCAGACCCTTTTTGTGTTATTAAAAATTATTAAAATCATTAAAAACTCCTGAGCATTCCAAAAAGCTTTCTTAATGTAAATGAGTTGCTATCAATAATAGTCATCTTTAAAAACTAAAACCAAGAAAAATTTAAAACATCATTTATTAATTATTTTACAAACAACAAGATAAATTCCTTATACATTAACACCAGAGTGATGACAGCATCACACATGTAGATTCTAGAAAATTCCACCACACACTTGTGAAGGAGAGTAGAATAGTTAAACAATATCTTAGTATTATCAAGAAAAAAAATGTTATTATCTCCATCTCCCATAATGAGCAAGGACAGTGCAATTCAATTTATTGGACTGAAGAGATGGCTCAGTGATTAAGAGCACAGGCTCCTCTTTCAGAGGACAGGGGTTCAGTTCCCAGAACCTACATGGCAGCTCATGACCAGCTGTTCCAGGGGACCCAACATCTTCTTCTGGCCTCTCAGGGCACCAGGCACACATGTGGTAAACAGATGTACATTAAAATTTTAATTTTATGCAAGTAAGATTGTTTCTATGGAAAGGGTGGCGGTTGAGGCACAGTTTTTGCTGTGTAGGTCAAGCTGACCTCACACTTGCTGTGATCCTCCTGCCTCAGCCTCCTGAGTGCTGGACTTATAAACTACAGCTCTTTAGAAAGGTTTTAACATTTCTTTTCTTTTTTAAAATCAGTGATTTGAGATTCTACTTAACTTTTCTTTTCCCAAAAAAAAGTATATTTTGGAAAGGGGTGGGACCAAAGAGGAAAATTCTGGTTTATACTTGGTCATCATAAAGACCAAAAAGGGCTCTGTCTGACATTTGACTTCCTGTAACATTTTCCAGTTGTTTCAGAAATGAAAACTGATAGCTTAAGTTTCTTGTGAATCCCCCAATCACTGTTAGGTTTGAACATCTGGCTCAACTCACTTGAGAGGAAATCTTACAAGAAGAGATTGAACAAGAATGTTCTCGGGGACCTGCGCACCAGAACCTAGCTGCTTTTGGTAGCAAGAGAAGGCGAGAGCACACAGGGATAGCCCGGTGGCTCGCAGAGTGTGGTCTAGAGATCAACATCAAGGCACCACCCAGGAACTTGTGAGAAAACCAAATTCCACACTTACTGACTCAGACTGGACTGGCCCAGCAGTCCATTTCCTAAGGCTTCCTGGTGACTCTGAATTGGGAGATTTTGGAGGGGAATTATTTGAGGATGGCTGGGCTATCCAGTCTACACTTAATCTTTGGTATAATCACCTCCTCTGCTTCCTTATTTCTTTTCTCCCTTCCATAAACATAGAAAGGATTCCTTGCTTCTCAGTGTTTTCATGACGTGTACCAGGTCCGCATCGACAGGCATCAACAACGCAGGCTAAATTTAGAGTGCAGCTGAAGACAGTCCCAAAGAAACCAGCTCTTAGAGTGGCCAATTAGGAAAGCATTAGATAAGTATGATTCATGTCCCAGGACCTAGCCTTCTGCTCCTGACGTTGACCCTAGACGCGGGCTGCCGAACATTGACCCTCCACAGATCCCCCACAACTTGACCCCTGGCTTTGGTATTATTCAAAAACTGCTCTTCCAAAGCTTCTGTTCTTTAGAAATTCAAAACGGAAGCCTCAACAGGAAGAAGACTGGCTCCCTTCTAGGACTGAGAGAACAACTTACGGAGTCCTAGTTTCCAGTCCCAGTCTAAGGCTGATCAGTAGGTGATGACGTCAGAAGAGTCAGTGAGGCAACCAGAGGTTGGTGAAGGAGCCACCTGATTAGGATGAGCTTGTGAGAGCAGGGAGGGGGGCGCAGGGGAGGAGGAAGAGGAAGGAGGATGAGGAAGAATGAGGGAGGATGAGAAAGAGTATTTACATTAGTGCTAGGCTTTACGTAGACTTTCCAAACTGGGAAATTATAATGAAGTCACCCAAGCTACTTTTTCTATATTCTGTATGGCATGAAAAGTGTCCACGCCACTAGCTTCATCACATATGTCCACGACAACAGAACACACCGAGTGCTGTGGGGTCCTCTCTCCCATTCTTCAATGGCAACGCCCAGTTTAGTGATGGGGTTGCAGTTTCCTAATGTGCGGTTATAGCCTGTGACTTCAGAACTTTCTAGAACCCAAAGGATCAACAGGAGACACCTGTTGAATGAGTGTTTGACTTCTTTGATTGTGCTTGAGCTTCATGATTCCCATCAGCCTCTCCTGGCTTCCGACTGCTCCGAGTTTTCTAGATGGTTCTTCTATTCTTCTTCCTAGAAGATTAACTCAGTCACAGCCATGTGTATCACACACAGTACGACATGGTCCCCACCCAAACACACGTGAACTGAACAGTCTTCCACTCTAACGCTGAGATTCCAAGTTTGAATTTCACCTCAGGATCTTGCTACCTTCCTACCTGATGAAGCCCAGCCTCAAGACATCCCCATCCCTCTACCTTTCACACATATGCGGTGTCAAGTGCCCTAGGCTCACCAAAAAAAAAAGAAAAAGAAAAAAAAACTAACGTTAAAAAAACATAAAAAGAGAGGAAAATATTCACAAAACCAAACAGTTCAAAGGGCTGGGTGGTAGCTGAATAGAACATTTGTCTGGCATGCTCAAGGCCTTGGATTCAACTCCCAAAAATTTAACCAACGTAAGCCAGCTATTGCACATCCTAGCTCCTAGTAATAGTTCCAAAACAACCAAAATAACTGGCCAAGATCATATTTTTTTCAGTAATTCAGAGGTAGGATTTCCAGTTGGCCACAAGAGGGCACCATCAGGCGAATTAGGTCAGGCACAGGGTCTTGTGATGTAGTCCCAGGCTGGACTCCTCAGGGCTGGGATCTCAGGTTTGTGCCACAACACCCCTAGAGGTAAGGTTTTTATGTCTGGGTTTTGTTTATTTGCTTGCTTTGTTTGTTTTTTTTTTCTATCAAGTTCTTTGACCAGAGGGGTCATATTATGATTATATTTCAGTTTCCCTGATGGTTCCCTTCCGTTCAGTTAAGTGTGGTGGTTTTTACACACTTCCTTACTTCCCATCATGACCGTTCTAAACTATTACCGCTCGCAAAGAGCCTATTCTCTGGTTCTGAGTGTTTGGGTCTTCAAGCTCCCAAATGAAAAGGCTGTTGCCAGATAGCTGCTCATCCTGAGCAGGGAGAAGGTCTAACATGTACTGAGGCCCCTAGACTGCCAGGTATATGACATCATGCTTCATTCTCATAACCCCAAGAGACCACCTTAAGGAAATGAGTAGATTGCTAAGGCTATGAATAGTTCCTAGAACAACAACCTCTGGGGTGCTGTAGGAACTTCTTCAGCCAGTAGCCTTTAAGTTACCAGCCCAGAGTAGGCCAGAGGAACAACTTGAGAATGGAAGGAACTGGATTCCCACCTATCTACCTTATGGCTATGTTATTAAAGGATTTAAGAGTATCTGGGTTGGCCAGAACCTGCTTTGGCAGAAGGGGCACACCCTTCACATTTGAGACTGGGATGCTTAGTTTTAATTGCCCATTTAACACAACCCAAAATTCCTGGAAGGGAATTGCTCAATGAGGGGTTACCTAGACAAGGTTCCCTATGGACATGTCTGTAGAAGATGTCTCCACGATGTTAATTGATCTGGGAAGGCCCAGCCTAAACCCACCCGTGGGGTTGGGTCCCAGACTGTATAAACAAAGAGAAAATGAGCTGGGCATGAGTGTGTATGCGTGAATCCATTGCTCTCTGCTTTTGGTTGTGGGTGTGAGATGAGAAACCACTTCAAGTTCTGGCCACCTTAACTCCCACACAACGATGGACTACAACCAGGAACTGCGAATCAAATGAACCCTCTGTCCCTTCCGTTGCTTTTGCCTGGGTATGTTATCACACCCACAGGAAACGAAACTAAGACAGGGACAGGATATCTCACCCAGTTGACCCTAATGAGGACAGATTGGCTTTTCTCAAGATGGTTTTACATTCTTACCTCCTTTTAAAAAACAATTTAGTTTTTTGCTATGTGATCTCATGTACCCCAGGACGACATTGAACGTCTGATTTTCCTGCTTCTGCCTCTCAAGTGCTGGGATTATAGGTGTGCGCCACTATGCTCGATTTCTTCTGGTGCCGAGGTCAAGCCTGGGCTCTGTGAGCATGCTAGGCACTCACTCTACCAACCGGGCTACGCCCATCCATAGGCATGTTATCTTTTCATTTATTTTGAGGTCTGTCTTACTATGTAGCTGAGGTTGACATGCTATTTTCTATTCAGCCCAGACTGCTCTCAAACTCAAACTCATGATCTTCCTGCCTCCAGACTTGAGTGCAAAGATGAAGAAAATGTGCCAGCATGCCCATCCTCTCCATCCTTGTGTGTGTGTGTGTGTGCATTCATGTGCAACTGTGCATATAAGCGCCATCCCATCTAGTTTTTGTTTGTTTGGTTTTGTTTTGTGTTTTACAAAGCTTTTCCCCCAAAGATGGTACTCAAGTGTTCCTGCTTGCACGGCAAACCCTTTACTGAGGGGTGTGTCTTCCCAGGCTGCCAGCTGAGTTCAGGCTCTGGGCAGTGTTTATGCTGCCAGGACAGGGACCAGACATTGGGGGTACTTAGTTCTTACAGCGTCAGACTCACCATCTACGTCGCCAGGTGAGCCCACTCAGAAGAAGGATGCTGATGAGCAGGAAGACACAGCCAGCCACTATCAAAAGAGAGGGAGTTTAGGTTGAGCACTGGGGCCATGCTTGGGGGGGGGTTGTGGGTGTAAAGGAACTGGATCCATAGGGTGGGTGAGAAAATTCCGTAGGTGAGCAAGGACCTCCTGCACAGCTGAGGCCTACAACATCTTTTTTCTATAGGAAAGGGGCTGGCCCTTGTCCTCTGGAGCAGACTGCAGCTGAAACTTGAGGGAGGCTCAGAGGACAGGCCTCACCAGCAGCTTCCTCCATGGGGGAATGTTGAAACAAGATGAGAAATCCTAAACACACTGATATCTCCTGGAGGTGTTTGCACTCCCCAAATGCTGACTTGTGAAGGTTCCAGATTCTGTCATTTTTTTCAGTGGTCCAGGTAGCATGTTCTTACCTCCTGCCAGGAACAGCTGAGGTGCTTACGGACAATTTTATTTCTCTCTATGGGTCTTGACTTTGTCAAGTTTGGGGGCATTGTGCTTGAAGATGTATGTGAGAGAAACTGGTTTAGGGTTCTTTAAGGTTTAACTCTTGGGATGCTCTTGGTTTGTTTTGATTGACAGGATCTAGAGTCACTTTAGAGACAAAACTCTGGGCATATCTTGTGAGATTATCTAGATTAGGTTAGCTGAGGTAGGGAGACCTATTCTAAAAGTGGACAGCTCCATTCCATGGGCTGGGGTCTTAGACTCCATGGAAAGGAAAGTGAACTGAGTAAAACATTTCTCTCTCTCTCCCTCTCCCTCCCTCCCTCTCTCTCTCTCTCTCGCTCTCTCTCTCCCTCTCTCTCTCCCTCCTTCCTTCCCTCCCTCTCTCCCTCCCTGCCTCTCTCTCTCTCTCTCTCCCCTCCCCCACTCCATCCCCCCTCTCTCGCTTTTATTTCTTGAGACAGGATCTCATTGTTTAGTCCTGGCTCTTCTGGAACTTACTCTGTAGACTAGGCTGGCCTCAAACTCACAGAGATCTGCCTGTCTCTGCTTTCTGAGTGCTGGGATTAAAGGCATGCACCACTATAGGCAGTCTTTCTGTTTCTTAACCGCAGATGCAAAGTGACCAGTTGCCATGCATCCCCACGGTGATGGGCTGGATCCTGGAGCTGTTCGTCAGAACGAGCCCTCCTTTCCTTCAGTTTGTTTCATCAGACATTTGGTCAAAGCAATTCCAAAGGTAGCTAATACAACTCCCAGCATAATGCAGCGAATCCACAGGGTTCTGAGTGTGTGAGCATCAAAAGTCATCTTTTCCCCTTATAAACCTCAGTGAAAGGAGGGATCATTTCAATAGGTCAGACGGCCCACATCTTGGCATGCTGCCCTATTTGTTCACACATGAAATGACCTGACCCACCTGCCAGCTGATACTCCATTGTCAGGATGAAGGTCTCCATGGTTGTCACTGCTTCTGTGAGTGGCTGCAAGTCTGTGGAGAAGAGTGACAAGGAGACACTTAGCTTATAGCAAGCTAGGCATGCATGAGGTCAGAAGAGGAAGGGCTTCTTGGATTCATCATTCTGTTGGGGGGAAAGGATATGAGTGACCAGGTGAGCAGGGCCTGTCTGGAAACCTCAACCTCAGTTATGTGGTTTCTCCTTCGGACACTTCCATTAGACTGTTTGTGTGTGTAGTAGGTGTACACATTCGTGTGTGTGTGCATGTGTGTGTGTGTGTGTGTGCAAGTTCCCATGCACATGTACCTGTGGAGGCCAGAGGTCAACATCAGATGTCTTTCTTAATTGATCATCTTTTTTCTTTGAGACAGGGTCTCTTACTGAACCTGAACCTCATTGGTTCAGCTAAACTAGATGATGACGACAAACCCCTGAGATTATAGCCAACTACTGCCATATGCAACTCTCCACACTTTGAACATGGTTTCTGGGGGATCAAACTCAGTTACTTATGCTTTACTGTGAAGGCCCAAAAATGTGAGCCTATTTCCACCTTGTTGAAGGTGAGAGAGTTTGAGGTTGCTCAAAATTGTTGACAACAGCTAGGGCTACACTTCCTGATCAAGGATGTGGCTATTTGGTTCTTTTGACATTAAGATGGCCCATACAGGTAGATCCACTCCACGCTGACCAATGGTCAGGAAATTTAAACATACTTCTCCTTCTTTTGAAATAGGAAGCTTGACCTTGGGAGTGACTGCCTTCAGGATACTTGGTCTAGGGTGGGTTCACTGCCTAAACAACAAAATGATTTTCTCATGGGTTAATTGCTTGATGGCTCAAAGTATTGAAGCAAATAATTATTCTAGTTTCCCTTTGTATCATGTTAAAGAAGTCTTTTGTCTTCTTTCCCCTGTGTATTGGCGTATAAAAGTGTATGGAAAACTAAACGTGGTGGATGTCAGTATTCACTGGAACTCTCTCCCGGTACTATTCTATGTTTTCTGTTTAATTATTTTCATTCACATCTTTGTCCTCTTTACTGATTTTTCTGATCCCCATGTCCCTACCCTGGTAAGTGGTATCTCTGTTGAAGCTGGTCTCCAGCACTTTACACTTACAAGGTAAGCACCTTACCAGCTGAGTCATTGTCCCAGCCTGCCTTGCATTGATTGTGTTGCTATGGCCATGTTCTTGCTTTGGAGAACAGGAAGATAGCAAGGCCCAGTTTCCCCTCCTCATCTTATTCATTGCTGGAGAAGCTTGCATAGCCACTGCCTGCCCTTGCCTGATGGCCAAATGTCTGTTCTCGGAAGCTCTCTCCTTACCTGTAGTGGTGATGGGACAGGAAGTCTCACTCTCGGGAAAAGGAGAGTCTTCACGGGCTGCAGAAGACAAAAACCAATGAATTTGTAACCTAAGATGGAGCTATGAAACCATACTGTCTCCCTCCACCTGCCTTCTGCTTCTGGTCCCAGAAATACCTGCTAAGGCAGGGCACAGATCCACATCAGCAGCACTGCACACAGTGAAGGCCATAGTAGAGCATATAAGGGGGACTCTAACCCTGACAGTGATTATCTATGGAACTGTGAGGAGGTCTTTCTCTCTAGCCTTCCTACTCAGTCCTGGATTCCATCTTTGACTTGGAAATAGGTCAAAATCACATGCACACACACTTGCGTGTGCACACACACCATCACCACATGTAGCTAAATAGAGCTTTTAGTTCTTTTGTGATCAGTGACCCAGTATGTGGGTCACTTATGTCTAGTTGTCTAATGTCATTATGTCATATTGTCTACGTCAACATGACGTAGGCTAGACTCATTGGTGCTCAAGGGAGCTTCAGTTGAGAAAATGTTGCCATAAGGCTGGGCTGTAGGCAAGCCTAAAGAGCATTTTCTTAAATAATGATTCATGGGGGAGGACCCAGCTTTCCCAAAGTCCCAAAGCAGAGAGGAGTCTCACCTTGGCTGAGATGGAGAAAAGAATGGGACAGATACAAGAAAGGAACAACTAAAAAGGCTGGAAGGGGGGCAGCAGACCAGATCCCCAACAGAGACCAGACCTTAGTTTCACTTCACTAGAACGGGACAGAGTTGAGCAAGCAGGTCTCACGAAAATCGCAATTTATGGGTGACCATCAGCAATCACCCCCACAAGCCCTTCTGCTGGCTCAGCAGGCTCCAAAAGCCCTTCTGCTAGCTCAGCAGATGCCCCCAGACTTCTGCAGGCTCAAGATAGCTTTCCCTACCCCACTGCTGGAAGGTCCCTAACCACTAGGACCTCCCACCAATCAGCCCCCATACTAATCTTTCCTCCACCAATCAACCCAGGTTCTCTCTGGAATTCCCCTAACTCTGCTTAAAAGGAGCTTGTGACCTCCTTTGGGGGTCTCCAAGTGCCACCCCTAACACTGGAATTACAAAGCGCTCTCTTTATGGGTGTTGGTCTTCTTTGGGGGCTTCTCTCAAACCCTAACACAACGTACCTGGAAACTGATGGTGCTCTCTTTTGTCTACACATGTGAGCTGGGGCTGCGTCCATCCCGTCTTCCCACACATCATTTTGCAGATGCTCACAGCAGGACCTCTCTGTAGGGCCTTGTATCCTTGAATGCACTCGTAGTGAACTCTCTGTCCTACCATGAAATGATAGATTCTCTTAGTATCTTCATGTTCCCATGGAGGGGGCTCCCCGCAGTGACCTGGAAGAGAACAATAATTCTGAAGGCAAGTTTGGGAAGGCGTAGGGAGTGCCTCTAGGCTGCTGCTTGTACCCAGAGTGACTCTGTTCCCTAGAAACTGGACCTTGGTTCTTACTCTTTTGTTTCACTCTCTCACTGAACCTACAACTATTGAAAGCATCTGGGGCAGAGGGGGTAGGAAGGTAGGCATTGTAGGAAGGCATGGAACCCAGTGTTGTGCAGCTATTTCCTCAGAGTTGAAATTTTCTCTCTTGGAAGGAGGCTTCTTAGGACTCAGAAAAATAAACAAAGTACACAGGTCTCAGAAAACTCACTGGTCTCAGGAAACTCACCACCCCCCTGCCCAAAGTTACATAAGTGGTAACAAGGATGGAGGGGATTCTCAGTTGTTGGAGCTCTCAGCCAATCCTGCAAAAATCCCCAGGGATGCAACTTCCATGGGTTGTCATCCATGCTGGGGTGGGTTTTGGGTGATGCAGCTGCATTTGAGCCATCTATGCTCCCAAGAGTAAAGCCAGTAAATTCGTTGGTCCATTACATCATACTTGGATATAATTGTTTCTCCATCTGGTGAACAGATGCTTGCTCATGTCTTCCCATGAAAAGTCCCACAGGGCCCTGTCACTCCTGCAAGGGTCTCAGAGTTGAGTAGGTAAGAAAGACATAGGTTGGTGGACAGAAAATGGGTAGTGCAAGCGAAGAGTGGATGCTTGCCAGGGGCACGGGGGAAGGAGATTTTTATTTGATGGCTGCTGCAAAGACCCTGAGGATTTTTGAAAAGTAGACAGGTGTAAGCGGGCGCTCAGCTGAGAGACAGTAAAAGGACAGACCGCTCTTTGCTTCCACAGAATAAGTGAAGAGGCACAAATTTAAGTAGCAGTTGGTAACCACTCTAGGACTTCACTAAGCTGACTAAGGATAGGTTAACGTCTGGAGCAGCGGAGATGCTGAGAGAATCTCAGAGAAACGAATCATGATCCTTAATTAAACCACATCTGAAGCATGACCCACATTGGCCCTGTCAGGCCTTCTAAAGACCTCCTGTGCCCAGCAACTTACACTCAATGAACTGAACCAGGCTTGGCTGAACTTTGGCCCCCGAGATCATGGGCTGTTCTGATTTAATCTGGAATTCCCCACTCACTGCCCCCCAATTCTGATCAGATGGAACTATATAGACTGTTGAACTCTGGATCATGAAATTACTCACAAGTTTGGAACCCACCAGATTTTCAAAAAAGTCTCCAACAAAACCATATAGAAACCCTCTACCCCAGTAGGAAACAGTGTTTCTGACTTCTTTGCACTTGGCATAACAGAATTGAAACTGTGTTTTGGTCTCAGAACAAAATATTATTTTAAGGTCAAGAATTATCACAATTGACAGAGCCTGTATGAATTTGATTTGTTTCTTTAGATGGAGACACAAAACTACGAGAATTCATGAACACCCATCAGCTAGAAACAGCTGGTTCTCTCTCTTTGTTGTTTGGGGGTGAAGAGGGAATCATACAGTTTGGGTTGGCTTTGAACTTCTGATCCTCTTGCTTCTGCTCCCCAAATGCCAGGATAACAGGTATGTACAACTAACTGTTCCTGGTTCAGCTGATTGTCTCTTGAGTAATTTAAAGATTGACCTTTCAACAACTGTAGAGGTTGGCACCAGTTAGCAGGAAAGCAGAGCAAACATCAAATGCATTTGGAAACACCACTTTAGGACGGAACTGGAAGAGGAAAGGGACTAAAACCATGACATTGCAATATTGATTCTTGATTGGCCTTTCTCACACACACACACACCCAGTATTGGATGCTGTGAGTCGTTTTTAAATCATTAAAAATAATCCCTCAGGGCCAGGCGGTGGCAGCATACACCTTTAATCCCAGCATTTGGGAGGCAGAGGCAGATGGATCTCAGTGAGTGTAAGGCCAGCCTGGTCTAAAAAACGAGTTCCAGGATAACCATGACTGTTACACAGAAAAACCCTGTCTCAAAAAACCAAAAAAAAAAAAATCCCTAAATAATCCCTCAGTGGAAAGTAGAAAGATTCCTCGTCGAATCTAGGGGCTAGAGGTCTTACTTTTACCCTATAATGTGACTTTAGCTAAATTGTTTAATTTCCCTGTGTCTCAGTTGATTGACTCGGCTGCAGGATTCAAATGAGATTATACATGGTATAATAAAGTTCTTTGTAAAGTTATAGCTTTATCATAAGACATAAAGGTTCTTCATATGGCCAACTGGTCCTTGCACATCTCAGTTAACCCTGGAGACTCTCTTCCTGACATCATGGTTTAATTTAAGTATTATTTCCTTTGGGAAAAGAATGGGCAGACACAGTTCCCACTCATCCACTCCTCATTAACTAGCAAATAATTGTCTGTGGATATCATTTTATAACCCTGTTCTGTAAGAAGCAAATTGTTATCAATGGTTTTGCTCAAAGTACATTGTCTTGCACTTAAGAGAATATAAGAGAATTTCTTGAGGACAGAGACCATTGTGCAAACAGAGACTGAGCTTTTGTTTCCTGACCACCAAGACCCGAATAAACAAACAAAACTATATTAATCACAACATTGTTTGGCCAATTGATCAGGAATATTCATAGCTAGCTCTTACATCATAAATTAACCCTTTTCTATTAATCTATGCATTGTCATGAGGCTGTGTTCTGGCATCTTTCTCATTTGGCAGCTACATGGCATCTCCCCTACTCCACCTATCTCTCTCTCTTTGTGTTCGGATTTCCCACCTTGCTTTACTCTGCTAAGCCATTGGCCAAAACAGTTTTATTCATCAACCAATAAAAGCAACACATAAACAGAAGCTCCACATTGTACACAATTTATAAACAAGTTTCTGTCCTGTCTGGTCCCTCAGTCATTCAGTCCCAAAGAAATACACAGAGGCTTATATTAATCATAAACTGTTTTGCCTATTAGCTCAGGTTTATTATTAACTAGCTCTTACAACTTAAATTAATCCATAATTCTTATCTATGTTTAGTCATATGTCTTGGTACCTCTTCCCAGTGCAGCATTCTCATTTTGCTTTCTCTGCATCTGGCCAGTGACTGCCTCTCTGCCTTTCCTCTTCCCAGAATTCTCCTAGTCTGGTTGCCCTGCCTATACTTCCTGCCTGGCTACTGACCAATCAGAGTTTTATTAAACAAATACAAGTGACGGATCTTTACAGTGTACAGGAGCATTCTCCCACAGCATTACTGTTTATTCCACTTGACACTTCTGCAGGCAGTGCCTAGCTCACAGTTATTCCTAGCACATGCTTTTGAACCAAATTGAATCTGCAGCTGAATTCTTATGCTCCCAAGACATAGTCTATATCACCTTCAGAAAGAGTAACTTGAATGCTAAGCAGTGAGTCTGCCATCATTAGGCAATGTTGTCATCTGCATGTGTTCTGAGAGAAGGCAAACGGATTGCACTGTCTATGGAGAATAGTATTAACCTCTCCCCTTTGACTCATCCTTCCCATGTAGCCAAAGGTCAGCTCCCAGGAGCCAGCTAGAAGATGCTTGTTGAGACTCATTTCTTACCTGGAAGGTTCTCTTGATGCACAGACTGTGTTGATTTCTGCATTTCTGTGATTTGTTGCTCTTTCTGGTCTTCAGGTTTAGGTGTGACTTGCTTTCTTCTGTTGTTATTGGCTAGAGAATATGGGAGGAATGAGGCAAATAAGTTTGCAAATACCCTGAATAGAAAAAAGCTGTTTGTGCATTCCTTCACTCCAGGACATCTTTCTAGGACCCAGGAATAAATAGCCCGGTGCTGGTTTTGCAGAGATGAGCAAACAAGCCCTCTCTTGGATGGGGCCAGCACACCTAGTCTATGTGCACTGATCTCTCCATGTGCACATTCACATTCACACGCATATTGACAATGAATTCAGTACTTTCCTAGAAGAAATGCAAGATTCTCCTACTGGAAAAATCCTTGTGTACATGTGAATTAAACATAATTAAAATGGGTCTTTTCATGTTACCAGGGCTGCCGGTGTGGTACACAGCAGTGGGAACGATCTAACCCCACAACCCTCACTTAACTCCTTCACTCTCCTGCAGTGGTTCAAAGCTACTCTAAGAGCACATCTACAAAGATGTGCTCTTAAGGCAATGGTAAGAAAATGCCAGTTAGGGAGAGAAGTTGCGGATGAGAAGGCATCAGAACCCCAGCTTAGGGTAAGGGGAGATCTGTTGGAAAATGAGCTAACCAGGCATTTCAGTAGGGCAGCCATCTTTAAACTCTGTCCTCCTCACATGGTTTGACTCACTGACCCTCTCTATCCTCAGGGTTAAGAAATAAAGATGAATGACACAACAGATCAGTTATGGGACCCATTTAGGTGTCTAACAATAGAAGAGTAAATTATTAAAGCAAATGTGCTATATATGGAATTTTTCTTTAATATATGCATACATACATGTATAAACCATACACACATTTGAGTTAGGGTCTCACTCTGCTGTCCCCAGTTGGCCTGGAACTCACTATATAAACCAGGCTGGCTTCAAACTCACAGAGATCCACCTGTTTCTGACTGCTGAGTGCTGGAATTAAAGACACGTGCCACCCATCAGCTGCATGATGGGAAATTTTCAGCCACGGAGAAGAAAATGGATGCAGCTAGAGAAAGCTACCCGAGGAAACCAAAAGTTTCTAATGGGAAGGGAATAGAAGAGAGCAGGGGATATCAGGTGGGGGCAGAATATATTCATTCTACAGTGTGTACCTGTATGAAATATTCTTACGTAATACACTACTATGTGCAATGGATATATGTAACAAAGTATTTTATACATAATATATCTAATATATATATCACGTTTGCACAGTCTCACCCCCCAGAATGAAGAAGAAACTGAGTACAGAGACAGGCAGTGTGAAGGAGCATTCTAAACTCAAGGAAGAAAGAATAGAGACCAACAGCAAAGTCATAGAATCTATCAGATTGACTCAGGCTTAGCAAGCCTTGTTCTTAGAATGAGTAGACACTCAATAAATAATGATAAATGAGTGGATATCCTAGAAGCCTCTAAACTCAGTTATCCCACAGATTTGGAGACCATTATTTTATCTGTTGGTCCAAGTTAATGGAAGCTTGGCTCTGTCTCCTGTTGTCCCCTTCCCATTGAGGTTACCGAAGGGACACTTACAGTTTTTTGTGCACTGACAGTTGTTGCTCCAGGAGTTCTCTATACAAACCACATAGACCAACTCGTTTATTCTTCGGAAACCTCTCTTGCATTCACAGTTAAGGATGGTGCCATTCTTGTAGGCGAGAGCTTTGAATGTGGCATAAGCGACCTTTGGTGGGTCTTGCACACACACCTCTGCAAAGACAAGAAGGATGTTAGTGCAGGAGGTCCTAGTGTGACATGAATTTGAGGGGCAGTGACTTACTCACAAATGTCTTCTTCTGTTTAAAGGATTGGTATGTACTCCACTTTCTCAGGAAAGGAACTGAGGCTCACACTGTGGTTCTTATCCTGACTGGTTTTTATGTCAACTTGGCACTGGACAAAGTCATTTGAGAAGAGGGAACCCCAAGTGAGAAAATGTCTCCATAAGATCAGGCCGTATACAAGCCTGCAGGACATTTTCTTAATTGGTGATTGATAGGGGAAGGCCCAGCCCCATTGTATGTGATGCTGCCCTGGGCTGGTGGTTCTGGGAGTTATAAGTAAGCAGACTGAGCAAGGCACGAGGAGCAAGCCAGTGAGCAGCACCCTTCCATGTCCTCTACATCAGCTCCTGCCTCCAGGGTTCTGTCCTATTCGAGTTCCTGCCCTGACTTCCTTCAGTGATGGAAGATTCCTCCACAAGTTGCTCTTGGTCGTGGTGTTTCACCACAGCAATAGTAACCCTAACCAAGACAGCTCCTTAGAAATCTTTGTATCAGAGACGATTCCGTTTGCAATGGGTGTTGGGTACTGCATGGATGTATAAATGATCTACGTGCTGAGTATAAGAGACTGTTGAATGCTTAGCTCCTAAATGTGCCATCTGAATCTCTCCCTCCAAGTTCCAAGGCTTGGGAACATTGCAGAAAAGGGGAAGGAAACAAAGGAAGAGTGAGAGGAAGGAGTGGGGTGGTGTAGAACATTGTTTTCCGAGTGTGACCTGGGTGTGCACTCTTGAACTCCCGGCAACCGTCATTCCCTGCGCAAGATTGTGACTGTCAATATTTCATCATAAAGAGGGTAGGGGCTTGTGGGGTTCCACTCCTTCCTTATTTATAGTTGGTTAACAATTGCTGGGCTATCATGAGGTCCGCCACTGAAGACATAGAGGCAACTGATTGCTGATAGAGAGAGAGTCATTTCCCTCAGTGATGTAGTCCCTGATATGTTGCTTATGAATCTATAAAGAATCCAGTACCTATTTTCCTATAAGTAACTCTAATTAAACTCTGGTTCACCACAAAGAAAGACAAGAACAAAGAAGAGCAATCAGCTGGGAAGAGGAAGGGGATCGGTGGGAGTGGGGCCACAGAGGCTGGTGGTTGTGTACGTGAGTGTGATCAAAATACACTATATGCATGTGTGGGGGTAT